GCTATGTTAAAAATTGGGGTTTAGGGGTTTAGGGTTTAGGATGATGTAGTAATTGGGGTTTAGGGTCACCGATTCTTGGTTGAAGGCCCGGGTTCACAGATTTTGGATTTAGGGCCCGGGTTGAAGTGTCTGCAGAGGAGGCTTCCCCAACGAACATCTGGCAGGGGCTCTTCAGTTTTGTCGACCTCGCGCTCGGCATGCATGCCCAAACCAGCTGAGATTCAAGGTATAAGACTTATAGAATCGGTTTCAGAAGTACATTAATGCAGTATAGTCAGGAAACCATCAGGAAACCCTAACCCTTAACCCTAAACCAATTTTAGCCGGGTGGACTGCCAGCAGATGGATACTGTCTGCTTGTCAAGACTCCAAGGCTCCAACTCTCTAGCAACTCGCAGAGAACACACTCTTGAACCTCCTCAACCATGAAGCCCTCTCTTTTTGGGGGAGCTTAGGGTTTAGGGCTTAGGAGTTTAGAGGTTTAGGGTTGGGTTTAGGGTTGTTTAGGGTTTAGGCTTTAGGGTTTAGGGAGGCAGGGCCCGGAAACCCTAAATGTCCCTGAACCACAAAACCCCCGAGGCCCGGTCTCGAGCAACATTGGCTCGGAACACCTCCGCCCGGACCTTCGCCACCTGGGGGAGAGGAGGGTTTAGGGTTTAGGGTTTAGGGTTTATGGTTTAGGGAGGAGGATCATGAGGTTGAGGGGTTTCTAGCTGCAGCAGTGGCATCTGCTCATGTACTTCGCACATAATTATGTACTCAAACTGGGCCCTGAGCACGGAGTATAGGGTGCAGGGCTTCTGCACCAATGCGCCAGCAAGCATGCACCCCTCTGGTACAGTTGCTCCTTCAGGCTCCCCTCTATTCCCTAGAGCTGATTGCGGCAGGTGAGGCTGATATGATAAACAAGCAGTAGTGGCAGGTGAAAAGCCCCACTAGAAAGGATTGTTTGGGGTTTAGCGTTCAATCCTTCGGGAGTCCCTAGACCCTGTAACCCTAACCCCACAACCCTAAACCCTAAACCCTAAACCCTAAACCCTAAACCCTAAACCCTAAACCCTAAACCCTAAACCCTAAACCCTAAACCCCACACAAACCCTAAACGACGCCTTCCTCGGGCCGGATCAGTTGCGCAAGCGTACAGACTTTCGTAGGACTATCCCTAACGGCGTCATCTTATTCCCTGGGACTATATCTACAGGAAGCAACCTCTACAAATGTAGGTTCAATTCCTCCTCCGAAGCATCTCAATGAATAATTCCATCATCTAGTCCCTCATGCTACCTTATAAGATATCATCATACAGACCCTCATAATACCATATCATGTGCAAGAATAACGGGTGCTGGGTCACGGGTTATCTCGTGCCTCCTCGGTCTCGTAGGTCGTGCCATGAGCTTGTGCCCAGTCGGCGAAGAGGGGAGCAGGCGTTCCTGGTGCTAGGGTTGTATAAACCCTGCATTACCCATAATAATAAGGAATATACCATAATTCCCATCGTTTAAGGTCCTGAAGGTAATAGGTAATGCAGGATTTAAATTTATGGTATCAACGGTAGGGATTAGGTTTGGGGTCTAGGGCTTATAGGGTTTAGGGATAACCGTTTAGGGTCTAAGCGCTTAGGGCCGCTGGGGAATTATGGCTTCTAGGTTGGGGGATGAAGCAGAAAAGAAGGATGCGGGATCGGGAGTTTAAGGAAACACGGAAACACTGAAACGATCTGTATTGGGTTTGCAGCTGACAGGTTCCTGGTTCCTGATTGCAGCAAACTGCAGCATGTCTTTGCTGAGCGTTGCCCCATGTTTGTTGCGAGATGATGGGGGCATGATCCGTCCGCTAAGCATGCGTGATTCCGCTGAAAAGCCTGAAACACCAGATACACGAAGCCCCTTCAACCGGATCTCTTGTCTTGTGGTGCTGTGCGACACAATCGCCTCAACACATAGGTTTACAGCCGTCTTCGCTCGTGAAAGCATGCGGGGAAAACCCATGGCACGCTTCGTCTGACCTACTGCAGACCACAGGTGCTCCGGGTTCTTCATGCGTCGACGGAAAATTAGGATGGGCTACTCGCTATATCGCAAGTCCTGTTGCCAAAAACCACGCACAGCGACAACACTCAATCAACATCAACACGACATCAGATGCCACCTCTCACAATCCCTCCTCTGCGGAGGGTCGGAATTCCACAAAAGGCGAACGAACATAAAAACCATATGAAACACTGCGAAAGTCCCACCTCGTGCCAGCAGCGGCAAAAGGTACAGCAAGAACAGCATGGCTGCAGCTGTCCAGGGCGAAGGATCCCTTTAGAATGCAAATCAACACCGGCTAAGAGTGTCCTGCTCAAACTTGGTCCGAGAAATATCGTAAGCTGAAGAAAGCTGGACTTGCATGCGCCTCTTGAGCCCACATGGCTCAAGCGCAGACCCTCAAGCTTTTCTGCTTTGCAACGCTGATGTCTGCAAGCTGGACGCGCCACATGCATGATTTTTGCCATGACATGCCTGAACTTGAAAAAACAGAAAGTGCACAGGTGCCGGCGCCTCTTGTAGTGCACACGCACGGCGAGTATAGGAAAAACCACGGCAGCCTCAAGAAAGAAAGTGGGGAACCGGATGAGAAGCAGCAGAAAATGACGGAATCAAGACAATTCCAAGACCACGGCATCAAGAACAACACCTCTCCCGTGGCCTCCCCTCTACAGACCATGCGCGTCTCCCTCCGCCGAAGCAGAGTTCCCTCAGGACGCATGACTTTCCATGCATGGTGCCCGCAGCACCATCCTGATCGGGTCGCTCCCCAGCAGGCGCCTTAGCCCATCGCCCTGCTGTCATTCGTCTTGCTCGGCCCCATCACGACGTGTTGGCCCCAAAGAGCAATGGGAATACCCTCGCGCAATGCGCCCCACGCTCGGCCAGCAGCGTGCAGGGAGTGCTCACATGGGG